ACACCTAGATACACCTAGTGAGTCAGACAAACCTACCTAGGTTTCACCTAAACGGATCGTCAGGGAAAGTTTGGCTCTTTTCGAAACAGAGTCTAGTTATCTATCTATCTATCTATCTTTCTATATATATATATATATATATATATATATATATATATATATATATATACCGGATGTAACACTAAATTGTACATATCGTGTAACAGCATAATTGCCTGTCCCATGAAATGTTTAATATCTAAAAGAAGCATTAAACTAATTGTGTTTTTTTCCCAAGTATTCAGGTAAGACTTTTAGCTATCTTGACATCATTTGTCTTAAGAATGTCTCCAACACCGTTTCAACTATTCAGCTAGAAAGTGAACAGGCTAAAATCGTTCAGCATTCATACTCTGGCTTCTATGTTTAATGTCCACTCAAGAACCATCAAGAGAACGGTGAATAAGTTTTAAAAAAGGAACAGTGGATAGGAAAAACGGCTCAGGAAGTCACAGCAGGAAGAGGGAACACAATTTCAACTTAGAACTAAAAAGATCAACAAGAAAAGACGTTTTTCACGCGAGAGTTTCAGCAAAGACAGTCAAAGAGCAACGAAAAAAAAAAAAAAAACTTGAAAATGAAATCGTAAGTGAAACCTGTAAAACAGCTTATTACTCTTGACAGGAAATTAGAAAGTTAGAGAGGGTGATACTCATCTTGAATAAGTTGGGAAATGATCCTGGAATAATATATATATATATATAATAATGAACATATTTTTTTAATTTATGATCGATTTCATCATGATTCTTCTGTAAAGCTTGGAGAGTAATTATACATTCTTATTGCTCAAAGTAGAGTCCAATAGTGTTATAAAAACCTCAGAATTCAGTAAGATATCTTTAATCATTTCTAAGAAACAAGCTTAATCTAACAAATGTACAATTTTGCTTTTACATCGGTATATATATATATATATATATATATATATATATATATATATATATATATATAAAGAAATATGTTGCGATAGTGGTTCCAACGAGAGAAAAGTATGTATATAAAAAAAGAAGAGGGGGTGCCGCAAACGTTTTTTAGTTGTAATGTGGATTTATTGAGAAAAAATATTATACTTTGTTTTACATAATTTCACGACACGTGTTTCTGGTCTGGTCTCACCAACCGTCTTCAGGTGAAAGTGGAGATTTTTACATATTATTAAAAATAATTAATTTTTCTTCATGTTCAATGTGGAATATTCTCGATATATTCATGTTCAATGGAATATTCTCGATATATCGAATATTCACATTGAGAAAAAAAATTATTGAAATTAATGTGTAAAACAAAAATTTTTTTAATAAATTTACATTACAACCAAAAATCCTCTTCTTTTTTTAATATATATATATATATATATATATATATATATATATATATATATATATATATATATATATAGTAGAATTAGTTAATGGTGTGTTAAATGCTATTTATTATATTAGGGTGATATTTTGTGTTATTTTTTTCTAAATTTCCTTAGCCTGAATTTTATAGTGTAAATGAATCTACGTCTCTTATTCCCTCGGCTATGGGTTCATTAGAAGAACTTATATCAGTAATTAATCTTTATTATCCCCCACAAATATTTTTACTATGCAAAATATTTTCTAGCTTTAAATAGCCTACAAAGGGTAAATAAACTGTGAAAAAATAATCAATCAGTGAATGTATGTATAGTAAATCAATATCAGTAAATCATTATTAGTAGTAAAAAGAATTATCTAAAAAAAATCTTACAATCTAAAAAAAAAAAAATCAATAAAAACTATCGAGAAACAATAAACATTTTCTTCGTTACTTAAACAAACAATACGCAATTTTAGGCTCGTCTGATAACAGACAACAGACATTTTCTAATTAGATCTCTAACAACGAACATAAATCTTCGGGCGCTTAAAAGTTAATACACATCTTCAGTCTCATATAATAAGGATATTTTATCGCTCACTTCGTAGCCGACAACACATGTTTACTTGCTTATCTCTTCAGGTAAATATATTCTCTCTCTTCACTCTTGATAAACAGCCGACGTTCCCTTCCTCAATTCTAGGGAAAATGCTCATTTGCCTGAATAGTGGACAAATTCGGACCTTCGTACCTTTAAAAGAACAGAGCGTCAAAAGGACGGTTTTCCCTTGACACCGCTATTATTTTAATTACCTTCACTCCTTGGCAAGGTTTATTGTTTTAAAACGCGATGATTTGTATCACATCTTAGCTACGCTTAGAAAATCATTTGGACACTTCGACATAATGTAAGAGTTAGCAAGCTTGTCATGCTAGAACAATTATTATCTTCTCTAGGTGCATGTACTTTCAGTTTCGTGCCACAAGCTACGCATATAAAATATATATATATATATAAAGAATTTCGATTTACTTTATTAAAAATGAATTGCATTAGGAGTTACTTTATTAAAAAACTGCTTCGTTTTGTTTTGCATTTTTCGATTTACTATATTAAAAAATAATTTAAAAAAAGTGTTTTTTATAAATTTATTTGTGATTTACTTTATTAAAAATAATTAAAAACAAAAATGGTTCATATTTTACATAATGCCTTTTCAAATGTCTAATTTGAAAAAAAAAATTTACTAATTAACGTTTTAATCCTTCATAAATTATTTTATTCGGTTATAAAAATGTTGTTTTTCGGGTGCTAAGTTGTCTCGGTGTTGAGATGTCCTGGCACTCAGTCGGCGGTGTTGAGTAGTCCCGGCGCTGAGTCGACGGTGTTGAGTTGTCTCCTCGCGACCTCATGAATCCTAGAGTTGCCAATAAGTCATTTTGACTTGAATCATGAATAAATGATGCTTGTATAATTGGAAAAAGCTTAAATCATCAACTGATGAAATGCGACGACCTCTAAGGAAACATCAATTGTTAATGGTCGCCATGTAAATCTTAACTCAGTCGTAATTGATCTGAGACAAATTTGTTAACCACTAAATTCCCACTGAATCGTATCTAGTGTATATTTGTTAAAAATCCAGGCTTCCTTATTTGTTTTTAATCATCTTATCCGAAACAAGGCGTTAATGCCACTAAGGCTCAAGGAGTTACTGAGAGTGGAAATGAAGACTTTATTGAGGGGAAAGGACAATAAAAGAACAGGTTTCAAGAAGATAGAAGATGGCGATTGATTTTGCATTTAAATTTTTGAAGATTGTAGCTTGCAGGGAAGCCGGAAGTGCAAGAAAAGAAACGGTATTATATTATTATTACACTCGCCTCTTCAGCAGGGTTACGGTGTACTCTATATATAAAATTCTGTGACTTTCGTTTGTCCATCACAGCCTCTAAAATAGCTATACATTGACCGATGGAAAGCAAATTTTGGGGAGAATTGCTAACAGTTCAGCGGGTAGAAAATACAGTTGGTTTTATTAGGGAGTGTAAAAATCGCAAAGTAGGATTTTTGTCAAAGTATTATTCCAAACAAATCAGTTTATTCAAATTTCATCGATTGGATTGCGAAATGGAACAAAACGTTGAGTGTGTAAATTTCAACAAAAATGTTTTGCGATAATTTTAACAATACTAAATAATATAAGGATTTCAACACGTGTGTTGCCAAAAAATTCTAGTAGTAAAAATCTACCAAAGAAACTGTTAGTATAAAATATCTGATGGTCTCCGGTTTTCGGATCTGATAAGATTATTTAATTTATTGCCTCTTACACACCGTTTTGTCTTTCATTCCAATGTCGAATCTAACCGATGTCACCGAAGCAATATTTGCTCATCATCAATGAATCTCATAATTGTTAATCGCCAATGAGACCTCAACTATTAATACCCGCCGACTCAGGGTTAATACAAGGAAAAGATCAAGTCTCTGCACAAATTCTTGTCTTTCGTTTCTCTTATTGTTATCTCCCCTTAACCTTGTTGCGCCATCTATTTACCGAAGTTCTCTGGTAGGTTATGCGTTGTTTTACTCTGTCCGTCTGGCCTTCAGTCTATCACGTGGGTATCAGATTTTTCAGATCATCTTTCTCCATTATGTGCCCTAGAAATTCCAAGCGTCTCTTCCTGGTGTTAAGCATAAGATTCCTTTTTGTTTCCCTTTTCTCTAAAACTTCGTCGTTACTCACATGTTCGGCCAATTGTATAGTCAGCATCTTTCTGTAGAACCGCATTAATTAACAGAGAATAACCAACTTAAAAAATATTTCGTTTTCTAGCTGAATATAAAGAAACAAGATTCATTTTCTTGTTCATGTCGTATCAGACAAAAGCACATTTTTATCGTCTGCTAACAAAAAAAAGCGTCTTTGTTTGTGATTGTGTCTAAAGAAACTGTTTATTGCTGGCGTTTTATTCCTAGGCTTTTAGCCTGTAGAACTTAAATGCGTTCATATTGCGTAATAATTATTTCTACTATGACACTTGTCATAAGTGAGAAGGGTTATAACAGTCGAGTTTCATATGTAAGCAAGTAGTAATAGAGAACACAGTATTTGTACAATCTCACCTTTTCCTTAACGGCATGAACTAGGGCTGGAGTGAAATATAGGCATGTTTGGATTCAATATTAGCGCAAGATCTGCCGACATGAAAAACTTTCAGCTCATTTCGCCGATTGTAATATTTGCGAACGATGTTAATTGCGCTAGTTCATTCCTCCTCGCCCCATTCGCGGAACATGGCGAATTTAGATTTCGCTGGATAATCACTAGGGAAGGAATTGCCAAGTTTGTAGAAATCAGGAAGAAATGCGAGCCACAAATGGATTGTAATGACACACACACACACACACACACAACCCCCCCCCTTAAAAAAAAAAAAAAAAAAAAAAATGGTCGCTGCTAGGCGAGCGTTGCAGGGCGGAACGCGTGAATTTAAGGCCAGAACACGCAAAGAAGGATCACGTGGTGCTGCTGTTATAATTGAAAATTTGATAACGTTAATGGTGGCCGCAGCTTCGTAGCAAACAATCATGTTATCGCTTGGTTATGTCTCACTGGAACAATAAACCTGGCTGCGATCTTATCTTTCTCGTTAGTTTATTTCGCCTCTCAATCACTTTGTTTTCCTGCTCATCAATTTTCTTTTTTCTTTTTCGCTTTCTTCTTTCCTTCCTTATTTCTTTCGTTTTTCCTTGCTTACATATTATTTACGATTCATTTCTTTCTTTCTTTCTTTCTTTCTTTCTTTCTTTCTTTCAGATTTACTTTCTTGCAATTTGCTTTTTATTTCCTTCTTCCTTTCTTTTTCTTTTTTGCTTCCTTCTTTCTTTCTTTCGTTTTCCTTGCTTATATTATATTTACGCCTCCTTTCATATTTTTTTTTACTTCCTTCTTTTCTTCTTTATTTCGGTTTGTGCTTTCTTTTTCATTTTTTCTTTCTTTCAGATTTACTTTCCTGTATTTCTTACATTTTACATATTTCTTCTTTCTTCTTCTTTCTTTTCTTTTGCTTTTTCTTTCTATTTTATTTCTTTTTCCTTCCATTTTCGTCCCGTTTGTTTTTATTTGTTTTTAATTCTCTCTTTCCTTCCTTCTTTCTTTTGTTTTCCCTTCCTTTCAGATTTTCTTTCTTTCTTTTCTTTCTTTCTTTCTTTCTTTCTTTCTTTCTTTCTTTCTTTCTTTCTTTTCCCTTCCGTTTTTTTTCTCTTTGTCCATTCCTCTTCCTTTCTTCCTTACTTTTACTAAATTTCGATCGCCCTATAGTTTTCTTTCTATTATTCTTTCTTTCTTTCTTTCTTTCTTTCTTTCTTTCTTTCTTTCTTTCTTTTTTCGTGTATTTACCTCTAGCGCCTGATGTCATTGTTCCATTCCAGATGAAAAAAAAAAAAGAAAAAAAAAAATTTCAAGACAAATAATCCATCTCCCTATTGTAACCCTGGGGATTGAACATTTCTATTGAATATATTCCATACGAATATTAATACAGAATCCTTGAAATCTACGCTGCTAAGACCAGCATTTTCATACCAAGAATCAATCCTACCTGAAAATATTGTCGGACTATCTCCAGTTTTGGTACAAAGCTATATTCATGTGGTACTGCTGAGCATAACATTCGATATAATTAACTCCCTTGAATCTTTTCTTTGAGGGAGTTTCTAGAAACGAAACCCTAATGTCAAAGTATATTGTTCTGTGACTTTCAAGAAACGAGAATAATCGGTAAAGGATAACGGCCAATTTATGTCTGAATTTTAAGTAAATTATCATCATAATCATTTAATGCATCGGCACACTCAGCAGGCCCAGCGTAACAATGAGCGCCTTTTATTAATAATGACGAAGATCTGATTACACTAAAGGTAGTCTCAAAGTCCACTTGAAGCAACAAACACGCGATGTAAGATTTAAAGCTGCGAGTTTTCATTACAGAATTGCCCTACCTGTTATTGTTAATAAAGGCATTCGCTAAGCGAATCTCGTTACCTGGTACCTGTGAGTTCAATCCCTATATCGGGTAATGAAAAAAAAAATGTAACTTGTTCAGTGGTAGAAACGAATGACGTAATTAACCAGAAAGAATTAGTTGATGCGAGTTGTCGCTTCTTGCCTAGACAGCAAACTGGGGGGGGGGACAATGGGTGGAATGAAATTAGCAACTCCAACAAAAATCTGAAGAAGGCCGGAGGGTACATCGGCCGAAGCATTGTAGTAATAACAAGCAAAATGAGGGCACTGTTCCAGTTAATCATTTTATAAATTATCAAATTTCTGTAGAGAAAAATTTAAAAAAGAGATAGAACTGACCATTCTCTGTTATTAAGCGACTCTGAGGCATTTCATCCACACCAGGTGCCCTACGCTTGTATACGAATAATCACGAACTTAGTCATAGAATCTATGATTTTTCTAAAAGCTCAAACTCTGAGGAAAATTATATACAGAAAACAGTCTGTAGATATGTGTTATATCGAAATAAAGTATCACTGCCGACACTGGTGTTTGAACATAGATCGCCAGTGAGCAGACACAAGCGATCCCATTATTGAATTAAGTAGATCATGTGACCACAGAGGAAACGCATACATGTGAGGTAGCGTGTGTCTAATTGATCGCTATTTCTATTCTATCCTCTATTACTATTCCGATCGTTATTTCTACTCTATCCTGTACTCTACTCTATTCACTATACTATTTCTCTGTTCAGATCACTATACGGTGATTATTATTCCAGCGAATATTATCGAGCAAGTAAAGGGTGTTTCATTAAGACGGATCATATATGTTATGGTCCGGTTCCTTGTACCACGGTGATAGTCCAAGGTAGAACCAATAAAGAAGAACTCGAACACAGGTATGGAATAACACAGATATATTACCAACAGGAATATATACAGAGAAGTAGAAGTGTTAGTATGAACAATCAGGTTTAGTAGAGAGAACAATGTAGTCTCGACCAGTATCACTATTCCAATGTCTTGCAGTAATTGTCTGAACGCGACTCTGTTTCGGACTGCCTCTGACTCGACTCTTGACTCGACTTGAACTACTGACTCCTTGCCTACTCCTGAGGAATGGAATAGTCCATTATTATTATGGGTAAGATCCCATAACAATATATAAGGGTGTTTCATTAAGACGGATCAAAGTCAGCAGTAAATAAATCAGTATTATTGGAGAAAATTTATTTATTTCTCTATTGCATCATGTTATTTAAGTCATGGCAATTATCTGTGAAAAATAATATCGCCCAAATGTCCGCCAAATCTGAAAGAAAAAGAAAAAAAATCATTAGACGCTTAAACCTAATTCATATTTAAAATCGGTCCAAGTTATTGGAACACCATTTACTATTAGTGCGAGTGATATTCGAAGACGTCTAACACTAGTATTGTTCAATGGCGTACTATAGTTGCATCTGCGATTACAAAGTCTCTACTACAACGAGCATTGCAAAAGAGACCATGAGTATTCCTTGGTATCGCAAAATTGGCAACAAGTGATCGTTGACATCGATATACGGAGGGCAAACTATATACGGAGGATAGTTTGTAGATATAATAAAACATGCAGAGAGCAGTTTGTAGATATGTTAATTGATATAAGGTGAATAACGTGTAGATGGGAAAAACTATATATAGAGGACAGTTTGTAGATATGAAAAATATGCAATGTGCAGTCTGTAGGTATGTTAATTGATATAAGGTGAATAATCGGTAGATAGGAAAAATTATACATGGAGGACAGTTTATAGATATGAAAAAACTATGCAATGAGTAGTCTCTAGGTATGACAAACTATATACAGGGGGCTGTCCGTAGATATGAAGAAACTATACAATGTGAGAAATTCTGCAATTAAAGCTAAGCTCCTATTGACTAATTTATGCCACACCGTATTTTTGTACCGACCAAACTCTTTGGTTGAATTTTCCTTTGCTTTTCGCGGGCATTTTTCAACCGCCCGTGCCTTTTTTTTCAGTTGCTGCAAAATCTTCGAGATGACAGGACTCATATTTCTCTCACATTGCAGGGCCTTTAGCGCCCAAAATTAAGCCTAAATGATAAGGCAATTATTCTTCTTGTCTCATATTCTAGAGACTTTTTTAAGGCTGAATAATTCAGTCGGTTTATTGACTGTCGTCACATTATGTACTTTTACATGAAGAACCTTTCTGCATGCTCTCGACAAATAGCCGAGTTTTTATTTCAGCAACCAAATTGGTAATGCTCCTGTTCGACGACCGTCAAGTTCCTGCTTCTTCGAATCTGCATAGAGACCAGTTGAGTCCTACAGAGAAGAAAAATACTACCACTTCTTTGAAGTAACTACCCCACCCTATTCACAAGGGCGCAAAAGGGCATGATCTTTTTTGCAAAGACGAAATAAAATTTGTATTGAATTTTAAGGTAGGCTTTGTTTGAATTGTATGTCTTTTCTTGTCTCTGCCGGAGTTAAACCGTGTAAGAAGAAATTCTCACAACAAAGAGCAGTTTATAGGCATGAAAAACTATAGAGCACTGCTAAAGTATGGCCCGTTCTTTTCGAACTGAGGTGGATAGGACAACGTGGAGAAAACTGAATAGCCATGACGATCACCAAACGTAACACTACCAAACATTTTTCTTGTCGGGTGTATGGAAAGACTTTGTTTACAGGTCCAAACCGAAAACAATTCATGAATTAAAACAAATAATTTCCGGTACATTTTCTGAAATTACTGTGGATATGTGAAAAATGGCTTGTAGAAGTATTGCTGATAGTGCTCAGCGTTTTGTTTAAAACGAAGCGGGGATTTTTGAACATGTTAAATAGTTTGTTAATCGTAACAAGTGTGGTTTTGATGTTTATAAAAGTTCTCAAACTACTGTCATTTTTTTGGTTCAATAAAAGTTAATAAATAAAAAATGTTGTTACTTTTGTCGCACTCTGTATAAAAGGTGAATATTCTCTAGATATAAAAATATATACAGTACGAAAAAAAAAAAAAAATGGACGCATCCACAGAAAGTCGATTTTTGTATTTTTAATAAGACAATTGAGTAACAGAATTCCTTTATTAATACAGAGTATTAATAGAGGTGTACATATGTACATTGTACAAGTCAAAAAATGATTTAGTATTTTCTTGGGTAACCTTTTGTTTTAATAACGACTTTAATTTTTCCAGTGACCTAGTCAGAGTTCTGACATTAACCTAATTGAAAACCTTTGGTTGATAATGTATAAGCGTGACTGTAATAAGAAAGTATTGAGTAAAGTCATCTCTCAGTTGCGTCTCTGTCCTTGGACAGAGTGCGCTCAGGGGCTTCTCTGTCTGAGGACAGAGGGACAACTGAGGAAAATTATACTGAGGGGTGCCCAGCCCTGAGGAACAGCTGCCTGAGGCCACGCCCTCCCATTACACCAGAGGGAGGGATCGGTGCTCGCACCGAGGCCAGCGCAAGCGACGGTTGCGGGGGCCGAGGGGAATTTTTGTTCTTGTCCCGGGCGTACGCGCTCGGGTCCCCACCTAAAAATAGACCTTGTGTCACATCTCGTCCTAGTGGGGGGACAGAGTAAATACCACTTGTAATAAGAAAGTTAACACAGAAGATGAGCTTTTTCGCGAATTAAAGAAATGCTGGAAAAATATGGCGAAGAACGGTGACTTACTAAAGAATTTAGGCTATAGAATGCCACGAAGAATTAAATCCGTTATTACATACCTGATTATGTACGCTTATGTCTGTAGGTATATATGTAGCTCTATGTGCGTTGTGTATAAGTGTGAGTCTGTTTGGTGGTGTGCATATGTGTATTTCTGTGTCAATGTGTACATAGTAAATGAGTGTTTTTACCTGTCTATTTATGTGTATGTATCAGGTCAACCCATAAGTTCTGTCCGAATTTTAACTCTTTGTTAAAATGAACGAAATTTAAAGAGTATTTTATAATGTCTAATGGAGCTGAACATTATTTTTATGTTTAGATGAATTTAAACTGATAACAATAAAATTAAATTTTGTTTGATTAAAAACCCTGCTAACATGGAAATACCCAAGAATCATTTGAGGCACATAATGATTTATGAGTTCAAAAAAGGAAAACTCAGCAGTCGAAGCGGGCTAGAAACATTCCTCAGTTTATGGAAAAGAATGTATGAATGAAAGAACTTGCAGAAGATGGTTTGCAAAATTCAGAGGTGGAGATTTCACCCTTGAAGATGAAGATCAAACCGGACGTCCAGTTGAGTTTGATGAAAAGCTTCTTGAAGCAGCCCTTGAGGAAAATCCTGCTTTATCAGTTGAGGAATTGACAGTGGTTCTCAGTTCAAACCATACAACAATTTATCGTCATCTTCAACAACTTGGAAAAATTCCTAAACTTGGAAAATGGGTGCCTCATGAATTGTCTGAAAACAACCTCAAATCCCGAGATGACATCTGCTCTTCTCTCCATTCTTGTTTCACCTTTTTGGATAGACTTGTGACTGGCGACGAAAAAATGGATCTTTATCGAAATGTTAAGCATCGTAGACAGTGGCTTGGTAAAGGGAAGGACCCCAGCCACAGCCGAGAAGGAACTTCATGGCCAAAAGGTTCTTCTTTCAATCTGGTGGGATCGCCAAGGAATAATCCAGTTTAAATTCTTATCACCTAATGCAACAATTAATGCTCAAATATACTGTCAGCAATTAGAGCGTTTGAACCAAGCTTTGAGGAAAAAAAGACCTGCCCTAGTTAATCGAAAAGAGGTGATGTTTCATCAGGACAATGCTCAACCCCACGCAGTAAGAATCACGTCGCAAAAGATCGAAGAACTTGATTGGGAGAAAATTCCTCATCCACCTTATTCTCCCGATCTTGCTCCTTCAGACTACCATTTGTTTCGTAGCTTACAGAATCATTTGGAAGAAACAGCTTTTGTAACACAGGAAGAGGTTAAAACTGACATTTGTGAGTTCTTCGAATCAATGCCAAAAGAATTTTACAGTAATGGAATTAGTAAGTTTGTTAATAGATGGAAGGAAGTCATAGATAATCAGGGAAAATACATTGTTGATTGAATCTGTAATTAAATATAACATTTGGTCACTTGTTTTATTTATTCAAAATTCGGACAGAACTTATGGGATGACCTGATATATTTGTGTGAGTGGAGATCCAATACAGACCAAATATAGATCGGGACCCGACAGAATGATAAGATTAAAAAAAACCCAAATAGGAACCGTTTATCAATATAACATGTTTCGCTTTTATTAAAGCTTCATCAGAGACTGAAATAGGGAGGAAAAGAAGATAGAAAGTCTGGTATTTATACTTTTGCGCTGTTTGATTTTCATTGGTTAATCATGTTTCACGTGAATTCGACTTGTTAAACTAACGTTAGTTTGTAGCGTTCCGAATTCAAGGTGAATCAACACGTCCTTTCGAAGTTATAAGAAATTAATAGATTCCATGCCTAACTGAAAAACCGTGTGTATATAAGTGTATAAAAATTCTATTTTGTCTATGTGTGATTCAGATGATGAAGTGTGTGTGTGTGTGTGTGTGTGTGTGGTAGACATTATCTTTGGTAGTATATGTGTGTATTTTTCTATGGGTACATATTACATTTATAGACTGCTTTTTTGATGAACTGTTCAGCAATCATTAGCTGTTCGGGTAGTGTAAAGGTTATCGTGGATGAAAGTGAAACCGGCGAGCAGAGTTCAAATTCTAGCTTAGTCTGTTGCGTTCAATTTCGCATAAATGCCCCCCCCACCAATCCCTAGCTATGGGTTCTAAAAAATGAATGATATTTTTTTTGTTAAAGTTGCTTCGGTCATTTTCACCAGAGAAGACCATACGCATAAGCATCTGCCTTAGAATTCCTTTTAAATATTTTACTCCAAGCAAGGCAATAAAGCCCCTGAGAATGGAAGAGGTCACAGAGTGTGGAAGAATAGGAGGAAAAGAAAACAGTATCAATGAGAGAGAACAATAAAAGAGCAGGAAGTAAGAAGACAGAAGACAGCAATTGATATTTAAATTTTTGAAGATCAAAGTTGACTGTAAAGCAAGAAACCGGAAAAGAGTTCCACAGTCGAAAGAAGGAACCGTCGGCATAGAACTTACGGTTTTATTTAACCATTTCAACTGTAAATACCAATCTAGGTCTGCACTTAATTTTGAATGATATCTGCCACAAAATATTTCTATCCGCAACTAAAGAAAAATGATTAAAACATTATCACATTCCAGAAAAATATCTGACTGCTTCTTCTATGCTTTTTGAGAAACTGATGAGACCTTACCGCCAATCTAGTACTGCGCTTCAATTCATTAAATGCAGTTCACTGACAATAAAGAAAAGGAATCTCTGGAGAGCCATGATTGCCTAAATCTAAAAGAGACATTAATCCGTTTCTTCTCTACCTCCTCCAGCGATGTATTAAATAGCAGGGTAGACTAGGTTCTCTAGCCTTGGCTGGCAACCAGCTTTAGGAGGACTACTCCGAATTCAAATCGTGGAGAAGATAAGTGGGAACTCTACTGTCTTTTCCAAGAAGTAATTGCAGTTCACAGATAATAAAGAAAAGGCAGTTGATCGCTTGTCTTCAATGAATACATTTTAAAAAATAACAAAATAAGCATCATCATTGCAAGGTGAAAAAAATCGAAGAGTTTTTTTTCATCGCTTTCGGAAGGCCCCAATTATATTTTCAAAGTCATTGCATTAGAGACTAATTCCTAGGGAAATGCAAAGTGGAATCCTTCAAGCTGCTGACATTATTGGTGTTAAACTCTTAAAGCAAGCAAACCTTTCTGTATGTTGTCAGAGGATTGAATAATAAAGCTGGCGTATTGTCTGTGTGTCATGTGTGGAGAGAAAGGTGCAGGCATTAGCTAAGATCTTTCTCGGTTTCAGAAAGTCATGAAAAGATATGGACGCTTGCATGAAGCGTTCAATATTTTTAAAAAAAAGGCGGGAAAAGACTAAGAAGGCTCAAAATGAAGAAGAAGAAGAAGAAGAAGAAGAAGAAGAAGAAGAAGAAGGATAGGAGGATGAGAGGTTGGGAAAGAAGAGCATGAGAAAAAGAGAGACGATAGACGGAAAGACATTTAAAAAAGAGAAAGAAAAATAACGAAAAACCTAGAGAGAAATAGAGCAAGTAAAAAAGGAAAAATAGAATGAAGAGAGGAGAGAGAGAGAGATAGATAGATAGATAGATAGATAGATAGATAGATAGAGAGAGAGAGAGAGCAAGAGTGGGAGTGAAAAGAATAACTTTAAATAAACAAAGAAAACTGCAGAGAAGGCGAAATAGATGTGGAAAGAGAGAGAGAGAGGTAAAGGAGAAGAGGAAAAGAAAGAGAAAAGAAAGGAAAAGGACAGAGAAGATATTTAAAAAGAGAAAAAAGAAAAAAGAAAACGGGGAATAATGGACAAAAAGAGGAAAGGAAACTAGAAAGGGGAAGAAAAGAGATAGAAGCTATAAAGAACGAAAGAAAAAAATGGGAACGAAAGAATGGAGAGAGAGAGAAGAATGAAGAGGAAGCAAGAAAACTAAATAGAGTGTGTGTGTGTGTGTGTGAGAGAGAGAATGAGAAGAGACATATGAGAAGGCTTTTACAGTAATTAAGAGAGAGAGAGAGAGAAGAAGTGGTAAAGGAAAGAGGGAAGACAGATAGAGAGGAGGAAAGGAACACCTTCAAAAAGGGAAAAAGAGTGAGAGGGAGGGAGTTAAAGAGGAGAGAAGAATTGGAATAATGGGTCGAGAAGGTGAGAGAGAAGATATTGTAACGGAAGCGGGGAAGTTCTTTAAAAAATATAAGGCGAAAGGGTGAAAAGAATTGAGAGTAGGAGCGAGAATAAGAAAAGGGAGAAAATAGGGAGACAGTGAGAGAAAACCTTTGAAAAGAGAAAAGAAGAAGAAACAATGTGAACGTGGCAAAGAGAGAGAGAGAGAGAGAGAGAGAAGGGGAGAGAGAGGGAGGAACAAAAAGAAAAGAGAACGGGTAGAGAGAGAGAGAGGGGGAGCAAAAAGAAAGAAAATCATTGTAGCAGAGAACGTAGAGAGAGAGGAGGGAGAAGCAAAAAGAGAAAGAAAATCATTGTGAACGTAGCAGAGAGAGAGAGAGGGGGGAACAAAAAGAGAAAGAAAATCATTGTGAACGTAGCAGAGAGAGAGAGAGGGAGGGAGAAGCAAAAAGAGAAAGAAAATCATTGTGAACGTAGCAGAGAGAGAGAGAGGGAGGAACAAAAAGAGAAAGAAAATCATTGTGAACGTAGCAGAGAGAGAGAGAGGAGGGAGAAAAAAAAGAAAGAAAATCATTGTGAACGTAGCAGAGAGAGAGAGAGAGGAGAAGCAAAAGGAAAATCATTGTGAACGTAGCAGAGAGAGAGAGAGAGAGGGAGGAGAAGCAAAAAGAAAGAAAATCATTGTGAACGTAGCAGAGAGAGAGAGGGGGGAGCAAAAAAGAAAGAAAATCATTGTGAACGTAGCAGAGAGAGAGAGAGAGGGAGGAACAAAAAGAGAAAGAAAAATCATTGTGAGAAAAGAGAGAGAGAGAGAGAGGAGGAACAAAAGAGAAAGAAAATCATTGTGAACGTAGCAGAGAGAGAGAGAGAGAGGAAAAAAGAGAAAGAAAATCATTGTGAACGTAGCAGAGAGAGAGAGAGAGAGGGAGGAACAAAAAGAAAAGAAAATCATTGTGAGAATGTAGCAGAGAGAGAGAGAGGAGGAACAAAAAGAGAAAGAAAATCATTGTGAACGTAGCAGAGAGAGAGAGAGAGGGAGGAAACAAAAAGAAAAAGAAAATCATTGTGAACGTAGCAGAGAGAGAGAGAGAGAGAGGGAGGGAGAAAAAAAGAAAGAAAATCATTGTGAACGTAGCAGAGAGAGAGAGAGAGGAGGAACAAAAGAGAAAGGGGGCAGAGAGAGAGAGAGAGAGGGAGCAAAAGAAAAAAAAATCATTGTGAACGTAGCAGAGAGAGAGAGAGAGAGAGGGAGGGAGAAGCAAAAAGAGAAAGAAAATCATTGTGAACGTAGCAGAGAGAGAGAGAGAGAGGGAGGAACAAAAAGAGAAAGAAAATCATTGTGAACGTAGCAGAGAGAGAGAGAGAGCAAAAAAGAAAAGAAAATCATTGTGATAGCAGAGAGAGAGAGAGAGAGAGGGAGGGAGAAGCAAAAAAGAAAGAAAAATATTGTGAACGTAGTAGAGAGAGAGAGAGAGAGAGAGAGAGAAAAGAGCAAAAAGAGAAAGAAAATCATTGTGAACGTAGAGAGAGAGAGAGAGAGAGAGGGAGGAGAAGCAAAAAGAGAAAGAAAATCATTGTGAACGTAGCAGCAACAAAAAAGAAAAGAAAAATTGTGAACGTAGCAGAGAGAGAGAGAGGAGCAAAAAGAGAAAGAAAAATCATTGTGAACGTAGCAGAGAGAGAAGGAGGAGGAGCAAAAAGAGAAAGAATATCATTGTGAACGTAGCAGAGAGAGAGAGAGGGGGGGAGGGAGGAGGAGAACGAGAAAGTAATAGAGAAAGAAGAAAATCAATGTGAACTTGAGAGAGAGAGAGAAAGAGAGAGAGAGAGAGAGAAGAAAACAATAAAGAGAAATAAGATAGAAGAGAGAGTAAAAGAGAAAGAAAGATAAACGATAGTAAGGAGAGAAAAAGAGAAGGACTCACTTTAAAAAGGCGAAAGTGGCAAAGAAGCAACAACAAAAAAGAAAGTAAATAAAAGTAAAGTCAAAGAGAGAAAAAAATGAAGACGATAGAGACAGAGAGAGAGATAGAGAGAGGGGGGAAGAGAGAGAGGGGAAGAGAGTGCGAGAGAGATGAGGTCTAATTTGTCTTTATCCAGATAAATTCTCGTTCATTTAAAATGAAAGCTCGACATGTAACCCTTCATCAATTTAAGAATTCGGTAGTCCATCTCGTTATCAGACTGATTTTTTAATCCCCTCTCCCGCAGCCAATTCCAAATCACCCTGAAGAATGTTAAATTTTCTCCCGCTTATCAAAGACTTCCTTTATTAAAGCGAATGAATCCTGTCTCAATGCTTTCATGACGAGGCGGTGGCGTCGCTGCTGAAATATTTCAACCTCCATCCTTAAAATAATAATAATAAAAAAAAAAAACGATATTTGGCTCACTCAGACCGAAGGTATTTATTTATTTATTTATAGCTTCGAAGTCATTACGCTGTTTGTTTTTTTTATAAGCGTTTCACCCCAAGCAAGGTGGGAAGCCACTAGCACGCAAGGGGTTACAGATGATTTGGAGCGAGGGCAAATAGGAGTGATATAGGAAAGGATGAAGAGAAGGTCAGGGGATAGATCAAGGCATCTAGAGACGTCGATTGACATTACATTTGAATAGTTGGAGATTATAGCTATCAGGGGAACAGGAAAAGGGAAGGGAGTTCCACAGGCGAGAGGTGCGAGACATGAAGCTATTGGAGTAGAAGAGACGGCTACATTTAACAGTTTCGACAGTGAATGGGTGTGAGCGAGATGCCAACCTAGTTGAACGCTTAAATTCATGAAGTCTGGGAACCAGCGAAAGCAGTCCCTCGGAGCAGTTACCGTGAAAGTATTTGTAAAAAAAGACAGAGGGGGGAAACGGCACGTCTGTGAGAGAGAGCGACTGCAGATGAGATGCCAGATCAGGGCCAATTTCATTGCATATCCGTCCCTGGATTTTATCAAGAACCTTGAAACAAACAGAAGGGGCTCTAGACCATATATGGCAGCAATACTCCATGCAAGGGTGAATGGTTGATTTGTAGATTTTTTAAGGATCGACTTCGGCGAGACAAATTTCCTGGCGCGGCACAGGGAGCTGACTTTCCTTGCGGTGAACGAAGCTATTGACTCAATGTATTTGTTCCATCACAGATCAGCAGTCAACGTGAGACTGAGCAGTCGCAAAAGAGAAGCTCTCGAGAAGTTGAGCGTCAGACATTCTAATGGGGGCAGAGATGGTTCTCTGTGTTGAGTAATAGAGAGCGGTTTTGTTTTTGAGGCGTTAAAGTTAACCAGCCAATTCCTGTCCCAATTCACAACCGATTGGAGGTCCTTTTCGAGACAAACGGCCAGGTTAGTTTTGTCAACAACACTAGATTTATAAAACATCACCGAAAGTTTTCAAGAGTTGAAAAATAAAATGAGCAGAGCAAGTACAAATATATAGAAAAGGATATAAATCATGGATATGCCTTTTCACCTGTTTTATTTAACCAATTACTCTTGAACTAGCTAGATGTAACCGTAAGTTCTATTCTAATAGTTTCTTCTCTATCCTGTAACTCTCTTCCGGTTTCTTGCTTATCTGATACCTACAATCTTCAAAAATTTAAATGCAACGCTAATCGGAATCTTCTGTCCTCCTGAACCCCGTTCTTTTATTGACCTTTCTCCTCACTAAAGTTTTCTCATCCGCTTTCATTCTACGCCTTTGCAGGTTATTTAAAGCCAGAAAATATTTTGAAATTATAAGAATTTTTTTAGAGATAATAATCATTTATTTATTAATCATCATGTTTTACTATTTAACCCATAGCTGGGGTAAAAAAGCTGGAGTCATCCCTTTCCCAAGAGTATTTACGCGTAAGTGAATATGCTTCTTTTTTATGTGCCTCATGACGCAGGCGATCATGGCTCTCCACAATTTCCTGTCCCTTGTAGCTCTTAATAAATGTTGTCTTTTTGTTATTTCTCCTAAACCCTGTGATCTGAATCTGCATGGACCATGCTACCTGGTCGATGATAATTCGCCAGTTCGCTGTTAGCATCTCTCGAACTTGCCAAATCTTCTCGTCAGTGGCTGGAGGTTGACGGACGTTCTGCTCCATCTTCGTACGACACGCTTGTCCGGCCACTTTTAAACTTCTTAAGCTACTCACTCGCACACTTCTACGCGTTGGTGCACTGTCGCTGCATTGTGTTAAAAGTCTCCGATGAATTTCAGCCCCTGACACATCTTCCAACATAGAGAAATCGGATCAGTTGTCTTTGTTCGTCTTTGGGGCACACTGCTAGCGGAGCGGTCATGTTTGCACTGTAACAGCAACACGAAAACTGGCGCGAACAAGCTTAAACTTTTATCACGTGACTACAATAGTATCAACTATAAGCACGCATGAACAGAAGGCAGTCTGACAAACCTAAACATGTTATGGTGAAAGAGCGGATAATTTTTTAATTATTTTCGTATTTAAGTTAAAAACGGTGAAAAGAAACAGAGAGTGCCATAGTTAACGAACATGGACAAAATGTATTGCAGAATATGAACAGAGACGGATATATACATAGTGCTACAAGGAATAGAAATTCGCCATGATCACGCGCATCGTCAAAGGACACGTCACATAAAAAAAGAATGTCTATAAATAATGTTTAAGAGCTCGGTGATGCGAATCGTGTAACGGTATGGATGTGCGGGTGGTGTAAATGATTGCGGCTCGGGAGGAGAAATCTGAGAATTCGAAGCGGAGTTCGTCGCATTCATTTAGGCGAAAATAACATTGGGAAAGGTATTAATCCACCTCTTATCCAAATTCCCCCAGCTATGGTTTAAATAGCAGTAGTGACTAGGCCATATAGCCTTGGTTGGCAACCAACTGCGAGAATTTTTCTGCCAAGTCAATCATGAATCGAAAAATGACATGGTCGTCGAAGCGTGAAACACACATAGAGCCTCAAAAAGGAATCACTGAAATATGGTCACATTCTTACTTCTTTTTTAACATTTAGCATTTAAAATTATTTAATTACCACCAGCTATGGGTTAAATAGCAGAAAGGCTTCCTACCACTTTGGTTGGCAACCATTTTAAAGATGGAGACTTGATAAAACCACCGATCTCCCAGAAAGCTAGAGGTATCCATGGAGATGCATCAACCCTTGAAAACGCAGATCGACTGAAATTCTGCACTCGTGTGAGTTCACAGACTTTTCACCTGGAGTAGTTTTTTTTTTTTTTACAAGAGGTTACAGAGAGTGGGACCAAGAGTAAAGATGCGTGATAGGGGAAAAGATGAAGAGAAGGATGGGGAATAGATCAAGGCATCTGAAGATGTTGATTGCATTTGAATAGTTGGAGATTATAGCTATCAGGGAAGCAAGTAAGAGGAAGGGAGTTCCACTGACAGGAAGTGCGAGACATGAAGCTACTGGAGTAGAAGAGACGGCTTCATTCAACCGTTTCGACAGTGAAAAAGTCGGACTGAGAGGCCAACTTAGTAGCACGCTTAAATTCATGCAGTTTGGGAACTAGCGAAAATAGTTCGTCGAAGCAGTTACCGTGAAAGTATTTGTAGAAAAAGTCAGAAGG